AGTTTCTAGCCGGCTACACCCCTAACCCTTCCCTAAACCTTCCACCCTAGCTCTACCCACTGCCTCCAGTGTGGCTATTATGCAATGCATAATAACCACATGTTTGGAGGGAGGCATTGGGTTGTGATGGAGTTGGGTGGGAGGAAAGATGTTAAGGGTAAGAATAATCAATTTTGCGAATGAAACCGTACATATATATTTATAGATAAAAAACCGGTTATTTACAAATTTGGCAAGAAAAAAAATGATTTAAGTCAATTAAATTATGTTTTGATGGCGGAAACTAGGCTAAGATTTGAATGTTAAACCTTGATATTTGAATGTAAAAGCATTAGGATTTTGCTATAAGAGGAAAATCACTTGCAAGCCCATAAAAAAGTGTGAGAAGATCTACATTCTACATGTGAATAAAAAATGGAAATTTTCACATGAATGCTCCATGAAATATACAATTTTACGTTAATAATATGAAATTCAACAATTTATCTCACCACTTTGAGAAATTACTTTCTTTTATACCATTATTTTGGATTGTCAACTAAGCTATATATGTGGCATTTTAAATGCGAACCGAGGAATTATTGAGTATGGGTTAACAATTAATTTAAAAAAATTGATATGTATTAATGCTAGACCACCTAGTTTAAAAAAGAAATGCAAAAAGAACTGGAAATTTATGGAGTATATTTTAACTAGACAAATTGTAAATAGAATATCAGTTAAAAATTAGAAATTGTAAAGTTTTACAATGAAAAAATAGAAATGAATAGAACTTTGATAAGCCATACTGTAGCTTCTTTGAAATGTAATTTTCAGAATTCATTCTTGTCATTATGTTTTTAAAATAATTGTCCGAGCAGTTCTGTTCTAATTTTTCATTTTATACTTTTAAAATGATCATAACTTTAAATCCACAATTCATATCATTTCTTACTCGTAACATATATCGTTGAATTTCCCTCTTCGAACCCTATTCAACAATTATAATTTTGATTATAAAATATTAAATTTAAAATTCTCTAAATTTTTGTCCAAAGTACTATCCACAATTTATCTGATAAGAATACAAATAATGTCAGTTTTACAATTTTAAATATAAGCATCAAACAGATAGGGGCTAGTTATAAATTATAATGGATTTTAGGTTTTTATTTTATTTTTAAAAGTTGTCAACTCATATTTTATAACTGTCCAATTTGCATTTAAATGCACGTCTAGTTGGCGATTGGGAATAACAATGTACTCCCTCCGTCCTAAAATTAACTTTCAATTTGATTTTTCACGGTTTCCAATGCGACACTTTGACCATTAATATCTCCATTTTTATATGAATATATATTATCAAAACATATATATTTCAAAACTATGTTTCAAAATGAATCTATTGATACTAAATTTATAGGAAAATTCAATATATTTTTTTCGTAATATGCAGGTAAAGTGAGAAATTAATTTTAAGACGGAGGGAGTAAAAACTAATAATTTTAAAAGCAGTGGCGTCAATTGTTAAAATTTGGAGTATAAGTATAAAATCACTCATTTAAAGGAGTATTTATGTAAATTAAACCAAACTGGGCCGGTTAATGTTACTCCGCATTAAAGCCCATACCTGATTTGGAAGTTTTGGGCTAGTTATTCAAGCCCACCCTGCCGCAAGTCTCTCTAATTAGGGTTTTGTTTTTAAGGTCTCCTCCTTATAGGGCGAGAGCATTTCCCTGAAGTCGCCCATAGCCGCAGATCAGAGAGGAGAAAGCATTTCCGCCATGGGTAGAAGTGAGTCCTCTCTCCATTCGCTCTCATGATTATGATTCTTTCATTCTATTGTATAAATTTAACTTTCTTAAACGATTATCACTCTCCTGGAGCCCTTTTGTCTGATTGCACAAAGAAATGATTTAATCCTGCACTTCTTTTCTTTTAATTATGTGTTTGTTTCGTTTGATCTGATTCAAATCTGAAGCTTTGTTGAGATCTTTGCCTGTGCGGATTAAATATTTACATTCGTTTTTTCGTCCTAAGAGAAATTGCTTAGTTATAGTTTTTAGTGATGAAATTTATTAGTTTTCTTCAGCAAATTACCTACTCTGTTCCGATCTTTTCAGCAGCATCTTGATACGAATACTTTGATTACTATCCAGCTGAAGAGAACCCACGATATCTTTTTCTATCTTAGTACTGAGATTGTTTTGAATATATGTTTTTTTTTTTGAAAAAACCTCTTCTAGAGGAAATCAGAACTTTTAAAAATCGTATGGATGAATATCTGGAACTGTGTTTATTACGATTTTATGGTTTTGACTGTTTTCTTTGGAAGTCTGCTGTGTGTTTGCCCCATGTGCCATGTTCTTTCATTTTTACCTGCACTTGACATTTGCCCTTGTGTTTTTTAATGTTTCTGAGTATGTATTCCCACACTTTCTTGTTTGATTACATACATGGTAAAAGAAACTCATGTCAGTAATCTCACTTTGCAGGACCAGCAAGGTGTTACCGCCAGATCAAGAACAAGCCATACCCAAAGTCGAGGTACTGCCGTGGTGTGCCAGACCCAAAGATCAGGATCTATGATGTGGGGATGAAGAAAAAGGGGGTTGATGAGTTCCCCTACTGTGTGCATTTGGTCAGTTGGGAAAAGGAAAATGTATCCAGTGAGGCACTCGAGGCAGCTCGGATTGCCTGTAACAAGTACATGACAAAGTTTGCGGGAAAGGACGCCTTTCATCTTAGGGTTAGGGTTCACCCCTTCCATGTCTTGCGTATTAACAAGATGTTGTCATGTGCTGGAGCTGATAGGCTCCAAACTGGAATGCGAGGTGCTTTTGGGAAGCCACAGGGGGTTTGTGCCCGAGTTGCCATTGGGCAGGTTCTTCTCTCTGTTCGCTGCAAGGATGCCAATGGAGTCCATGCTCAGGAGGCCCTTCGCCGTGCAAAGTTTAAGTTCCCTGGCCGTCAAAAGATCATTGTTAGCCGCAAATGGTACTCAATCATCTCCTTCCTATTTATTATCTTCTTCTGATACTAGATTTAGCCCCCATTTTTACCCCCATTGTTTCCACTTTGATTTGGATTAGTTCTTTTTGTCTAGGGGTTTCACCAAGTTGAACCGCTCTGACTATGTGAACTACAAGAAGGAGAATCGTCTTGTGAATGATGGTGTCAATGCCAAGGTTTGTTATTTCTTACAATCAGTTTACTCCACTTAATTATTTTTTTGTTAGCTGAAGTTGTCTCTATGTTATCAATTTTTTCTTTGTTAGTGTCTATGAAATCTGTCTAGGAATTGGAATATGATTTTAATTATTTTTCTTCTACTCTCCAGCTCCTTGGATGCCATGGGCCACTTGCAAATCGTCAACCTGGAAGAGCGTTTTTAACTGCTGTTTAAGACACCTTATTGGCACAATCCTTTGTTTTGGTGCATTTAGTGTTCCAATTTTGTGTTCAAGAATTTAATTTCTGCTTGGAACTTGTGTTTGTTTTTTATTTAATGTGGATTGCAACTGGTTTATGCGGGTTGATATACATCTATTATGTTTTTAACTTGGATTCGTTTACTTAATTTCCTTCATCTTCATTCCTTTCAATTTTAACTGTTTCTTAGTCTCATCTTAAATTAACCACATGCTGCACACCCTAGTAACCCTCCAATTTGCTTGAAGTTTCTCTTAAATACCCTTACGTGCATTTGGCCTAGGCATTAAGAGGTTAGTGTCAGTGTTTTGAAAAAGTTATTTATGTGTTTCTCTGTGCTAAGTTGATCAAAATTGTTTATAAGTAATTTTTTAATTTTTAAGTTAGTTGATGACATGTTTTTTGTGTGCTTATAAGTTGATTTATTTGGAGTACTATTTAAGCTAGAAAAAAACTAGGTTTAGCTACTTATTTTTAAGATAGTTTTTTTGTTTTACATTTTGATCTGATTATTTACAAATCTGTTCTTTACTATTTATGAATAGATAAAAATGATTTATCTATCATATAAGTCATTTTATTTCAATGAAAAAATATTTGACTTATAAGTAGTTTATAAGTTAAAAATTGTTTGTCATCAATAAGTAAATAAATATTAGTATAGAGAGTCTTCTTTAATAGTAGTAGTCCTTAGCGCTGCACTTCTGTTTTTTAATTTACTCTATTAAATTTTTATTTAAAATGTTGATTTTAATAAAAAATGTTCTCAAATAAAGTGTTAAACGTGTTACTGAGGACAACCTATGGAGATGCTTAAGAGTAGTTTCAAAATGAATTAAGATCAAGTTCACTTTCTGCTTATTTCTTGAACACTCGACAAAAAGATGAACTCTAGTTTTAGGTACCTCTAGTTCTTGCTCGAACAGTTTATACAAAGCGTCAATAATCATCTTGTGGACAATGTTAATGGAGCATCATAGGTGTTCAGTGTCCTCCGTTGCCACTTAAAAAGAGTGGGTAAAGAACCGGTCCGTGTTGCCTTATGCTCCTGGACATTTCTTTAACAATGAATACTATGAGTGTTTGTGGGTGACTAACATTGCTCTTAGGAGTCATACAACGATACAAATGGGAGTTGCAATTATAACTTTATAACTCCTTTTTTCTTCTTTTTTCCCAAGCAGGGGTTGAACACATCCATGTTAAATGTATTCCTCAATACTTGAGTTATCCTTGCTTTTTTTCTTTCTTGCTTTTGAAAACCACTCATGTCATGCTGTATTTTTTGTTCAATCCTATAACTTATTTCTTGTCTCAAAAATCTTTTACTTTTTTCAGCCATCTTAAAACATACTCCTTCCGTCCCATTTTATAGCGCCTGTTTCGGTTTATTTTCAAATCATTTTATATGACAAATGGTACATAGCTAAAAAATAAAAATTACATATTAAATTATTACATCAAAAGATCTACAAAACTAGTAGTGACAATACAACAACAACAACAACCCAGTTAAATCCCACAAGAGTAGGGTCTGAGGAGGGTGTGTGTACGCTGATCTTGCCCCTACTCGAAAGTAGAAAGACTGTTTCCAAAGAGACCCCCGGCTCAACGTCGAAAGTTGCATTGCTTGACTAACTGCTACTTCATTAATTAAAGAAGCGCAGACAGTTTAGAGATCCATTTTGATTTATTCCATCACACCCCAAAGCCAAAAAATGGTGAAATTTTGGCTCCATCGGAGATGATGGAGCAATAGTACTTTATTTTATCAAATTGTTAACGAAAATTGAGAAAGAAAGTGAATGAAGTTTGACCCTAAGAATAGTGAACATGCATTATAATTGGGAAATGCTTGGTTCACAAACACAATCATCACAAAATTCACAAACTTACTATTTGTGAACTTTGATAAAAAAAATTAAATGGTCTAAAATAATTTGAAATTGAGAATTTAAACCATAAATAGTATGTTTGTGGAATTTGTGATCATTCTGTTTGTGAATGTAGCATTGCTCATTATAATTTGGGACGGAGGGAGTACTTTTTTTTCACTCAAAATTTCTCTTTTATTCTTCTTAATTACTCCGTATTAACTTACATATCACATAATATCTATTCATTATTAATCTACCTATCACTTCTAATCAATCTCAATCATAAAACAACGAGAAAATTAAAAAGGTTTACTAGAATCCTTAAATCCCACCTTTTTTCCGAAGTAAAAAAGTTTTATGGAACAAAGGTAATATATCATTACTGTGTACCCTTACCTTTGCAAAAACAATACAAAAGATAGTATTGGAAAGGGAAGTGTATATGTTATGTACTCCGTGTAAGCGTTGGAACGAGCTTTAATATTTGGAATATGAGTGTTTGGTGAAGATTTGAATTGAAACAATATCAAATGGAACCAATCGAATGATTGATACGAGTTTTGTTACGCTTTGCTGCATTTTCCATCGCATCTTTGTAGAGAGTAGTAAGCATCACATAGTACATTTTAGGTGCCATCTTGATGTAATCTATTATTTATTTGAAGTTAAAATATTGTTTATTAAAGCTCAAATGGCCTAACCTAATTGAATAATGCAGCATCAAATGAAGGTTGGTTTCTACAAGCTGTCCAATTTTCCTGGAGTATCCACTCATTCCATTAGCAAAATAGTGTCAATAATGTTTTTGTTTACTATGAATCTAAACCATTGTCAATAATGCTTGACTCCTTTAGGCTATGGACACTAAGTTATAGCAACTAGGGAGTAATTTTGTTTGCCCCTACCCAAGAGTCCAAGACGGGAAGTCCCCAAAAATTGCCTAAAATTTATACGAACACCTAAAATTTTTTATGGCCGAGCATTCCTCATGTAGTATGCTCCACAATCAACATTCAAGTTGTATGACTCAAATCTCCAACCATAGTTCTCAACCTTATCAAATGTGTTCAATAAAAAAATGTTTCGGATCGGACTTTGTCCTTCACTAGCAGCATGCAAACTCAGCAAAGTACATCGTACAAAGAAGCGAGTAACTACTACATACAGTGCACCTGGTTTCTTAGTTTGCCTTGAGACACCCCTCCTTGTCTTCCTCGACCTGGAATACACCCCAATGGGGATGGATCAATCCACTTATACCACAATGATCTGAGCAAGTGTCCTATAATCTTACCCGAAAATAGGATATCATTGACCTTCAACCAGCGGAATCTAGCTAAATCTCTCCAATTGCTTTGGGTAAAAGAACAAATTTTAGTTGTTTGACATTTTCTCTGTAACCACAGCTCAGAATTTTGTGTTGGAAATTGATGCACTACTGTTATGGCAAATTCCATTTCAGAAATGATCATGCTCAAAGTAAGCAAGGGTAATCACAAATTTCATACGCAGCCTTCAACTGACAGTAAGCTTAATAGACAGATTTCTAAGACAGACTAATCACAAGGAATGTCTGACATAGAGCAACAAGCACTAACCTGGGCAATCATTTTCCAAAATAAAGGCAAGAACAACAAAACCTCTATATACAGGCTTTCTACCCATAATTAAACTGGGGGCTTTCTACCCACAATTAAACTTAAAAAACAACAATAGCAAAAACAGAACAGCAAGAGATACTTGAGATTCTGCAGAGATAATCTTGGTTGACTTTATCCGTGCCGACTGCTGCATAAGATGTTGGAAAATAACTAGGATCCTCACTCAATCATGTTTCCCTTTTAGAATTAATCCCATATATGCCTAATACTACCTCCGTCCTAAAGTATTTGTCCACTTTAATTTTTACACATCATCCAATAGACTTCTTTAATCCATTTTATCTTGTAATTTGTATATTAAAAAATTATATAAATTATATATTAATAATCTATATGTTAAGACAAATCAAACAAGATCACACATGACTATATTTAGGCTTACACTTTGAGAGAATTTGATGAGTCAAAGTGCTTAGATGAACAGTTCCAAAAGTCAAAAGTGGACGAATATAGCGGGACGGAGAGAGTAGTATCTTTTGCTACATCGATGATCATCATTGCTTCTAACTGCTATGCATTTTTCATTGATCTGGAACCTGAAATATTTGAATTAGATGGAATTCTACTGTAACCTAGAGCACAAGATTGTCAACACTCAACAAGTCGCGTAAATATGCAACCTGTGTGGCATACCCTTATTAATTAAAGGCATGTCACGCCCCACACAACAACTAGAAAACAAGCAAAAAAACTCAAAGAAAAGAAAAAGCTCACTTGTCATTATTCTTTCGCCTTGTGTGCCTTTTCCTCGGCCTTCTTCTCATTTATCAAGTCTTGCGCCTTGCGTGCCTTTTCCTTCATTCCTGAAATCATCTCCTCTGTAGAATCCATTATTTGTTTTGGTAACTGAAACTCCAAATAGTCAAGCCAATCTCCTAGACTCATGGTTTCCAAGTCAAACTTTACTCCAATGTCAGGGACACCCTTGCTTTCACCATGGCCAGCTTCTTTCCCACATTTAGGCTGCTCTTCCTCCTCACCGCCCTCCTCAATAGTCTTAAGTTTCTCTTCACCTCCACTCTTCTTTGCACTAGCTGGATTTGTTTCGTCCTTGTCTTCTTCCAAATGCACTGATGCGATACTATCAGCCTGTAAATCACTCACTTTTGTACTTCTGGTGGTGACCCTTTTCGTCGTCACCCTCCCACGTCCTCTTCCTCGGGTTCTTCTTTGACCGCCAAGTTCATCTTCATTTTGTGAAGCAGTCTCCATCTCCCTCAAACTCACTGCCTTCTCGACGACAGCACTTTCGACTTGAGAAGTCGAGCTAGTGAAATTCTCTACCTTTCTTGAATTCCTTGTTCTCCTGGGAGCTGCAGTTTCCAATCCAATGCTCTCAGCTTGAAGTTCAGCCTTGTCACTGTTCACCCTAGCCCTAGCACGAGTACGAGGACCGCACCTCTGCATCTTCCCCAACTCTTCATCCCTAAACCCTAACTCCCGATTCTCAGCGGCATTCTGGTCGTCTTGCTGTGCTGTTTCTGCGGCTGCCTTCTGCCTAGGGTTTCTCCTTTGCTTGGTGGATGGGGGACCGAGACCTTCGATTCTGACGTAGATTGTAGTGAGCTCTCCGATTTTGATGGTGTCGCAGTCGGAGAGGGCGGCGGGGGAGGATGCTATGACTTTGTTGGCGTTGAGAAAGGTTCCGTTTGAGGATCCGAGGTCGCGGATGATCCATTTCCCGTCGGAGGGATTGAATTCGATGGTGAGGTGATTGGAGGAGATGCCGGAATCTTTGATGGTGAGATTGTTGCCCCGCACGACACGGCCAACCCGAACAGTAGTCCCCGGCTTGAAATCCAGGGCTTGACCGGCGAGTGAACCTCTCTCCACGGTTAGCTTCAACATAGGCCCTTGAACTTCCCCTCCTTGAGCACACATCGTTTCCGGCTCTGTGTTTGTTTTCCGGCGGGCTATCTGAAATCGGGAATCTATTCACGTTTCTATGAAGAAATAATCGTGGAGATGCTCAGTTTAGCCCCTGACTAATGGCGGACAAAACTGTATCAAAATTCAAAATGACCTTAAATCTTATACTCTCTCCTCCCTTAAATATATCTCACGTTTCTATCACCGAGGTAAAATATTAAGTTTTTTCAATTCATTTTGTTTATATTTTAGTGTAGAAATAAAAAATAAAATTTACATATAAAAAAACTACATGAAAAGTTCTTCGAAATAAGATTTATCACGAATATTTTATTTTATCAAATAATCAATGAAAACGTATAAATAAACAAAAATTCACGCAATTGCTGAAAAAACAAATGTGAGATATATTTAAGGACGGAAGGAGTAATATTTTCTTAAAATAGTCTTTTCTAATTAAATGTCATGTCTACGTTTTATTTTTTCTACAAGAGTTTTTCTGTATGCTTTTACGTTTTCATTTTCATTTTCAATTCTATTTTCATTTTATTTTCTTTTCTCTTCCTTTTCTTCATTTACTAAAATCATACCCGTGCGTTGCACGGCCAAAAATATGCCTTGAAAATTATTATTTAAATTTTTTAAGTTATCTCACTGTAGTATATATTAATATATGTTTATACTTTAAATTGATAGTTATGAGATGATTTTTTACATTAAAAAACTGTAAGAAAAATGAGTACATAAGTCATTGCTAAAACATTTACAAATTATGAAATACTTCTTTATATACAACATTCATTGTTGAACGTTTTAGTTTGCCATTCTCATCACATATTAGTATTTTTAAACCCTTACGATCTGTAGCAAAAAAGTACGTTGTAGCAAATATAGAAGATGTATATATTTATTTTTTCATTTCATTTATTTTTTTAATTCAAACACAAATAAATTTGGTTTTTTAAAAACATTATAAAGAACAATATTTAAAAAAGTAAAAATAAGATATTGGGTTGAGATGCCCCTACTGGTTCGAAAATTAAACATCAATGCCCGTAATGTGGTTTGAATATTAGGGCACTGGTAATGGGCATCACGCCCACCGGCGTGATCGCCGGTTTTAACGCCGGGGGGCGTTAAACACCGTCCTCCATCAGCTTCATCCGGGCGTCACTTGTTCGGCGTCATTGGTTTGACGCATCTCCCCCTCCCCCTAACGGCTAATTTAGCCGTAGTAAACAAAAAAAGAAAAATTAATTTTTTTTTAAATTTCAAACTCCCTCCTCCTATTCTCACACCTTCAATCTTCTTCACATATTCATCAATTTCAAACTCTCCCCTCTCTTTTGAACATGAATCCTTCCGGCTCCGGCTTCTTTCCCGACAATCTCGAGCCTCACGATGCCGCGATGTGTTATTTCCATGAATTCGGGAATCATCCACCGATGTTCGAGACGCAACAATGGGGTACGTCGAGCGAAATTCGGTTCCGGAGACTCAACCGGAACCATCCGGCTCCAAAAAAAGTACACGCCGGAAAAGCCACAAAGCAAAAGGCACGATATGATGACCGAGGCGGCATGGTCAATCCAAAAGTGGACACCGGAGGAGGAGTGCTTATTGGCGTCGGCTTGGGTTGACGTCTCCGAGCATCCTATCATTGGTAAAAATTATATTTTTTCTAATATATTTAGTTTTTATTTATATAAAATTATATTTAATCGCGTCATAAAAAAATTTCGTGTTATGATTTTTAAAGGTTCAGAGCAAACGAAGGATGCGATGTGGGATCGTATCGAGGAGAAGTTCTTCACGACGATGAACAAGGACGGCTCCTACCGTACCCGGGACCAACTCACTTCCAAATGGAGCCACATCAACCGTAAAGTCTGAAAGTTTATCGGAGTTTACGAGGAATGCGCCCGATCCCAAAGGAGCGGGACGAATGACGCCGATGTTCTCCGGCTTGCCACGACCCGGTATCAAGATGACTAGCACCAAGGCAAGGTGCCCATCGATCTTTGGAGGATTTTGAGCCGTTCCCCGAAGTGGCAACAACTCAACAATCCCGACGGCAGATCGTCAAAGAAAAGATCCTCCGTCGACGCCGAGGTTGAGGTCGACGACACTCTCGGTTCGTCCGATCAAATGCCTCCCTTCAACGTTGCGGATTCCGATGACGAGGACCCCATTCCACGACCGATCGGAAGAAAGAAGGCAAAATCCATTGCCTCGGGTTCGGGAGGGTCTGGCTCTGTTTCCGTTTCTTCTCGCGACGAAATCGGTCGGGCAATGGTTGAACAACTTCGGGTGTTCAATCTTCGAGAAGAAGAGAGGATGAAGCTAAAGGAGAAGGAGATGAAGCGAAAGGAGCAGGAGGACGAGATCAAAATCATGGAAACCGACATCTCTACGTTATCGGGTTTCAAACGGATGATCTACGAGCAAAGACAAAGAGAGATCAAGGCGAAATATAATTTACCTTAGTTTTTTTATTAATGTATCTTTTTTATTTTTGTCGTTTTTTTTAGTTTAATGAATGTAATTTTTTAAATTTTAAATTATTGTCATTTCAATTTCTTTAAATTTAACGAATGTATTTTTTTTATTATTCGTGTTTCAGTATAATTAAATAATAAATTAATTACATTTTATTAATTTAGTTTTAGAAGATGTATATTTAAAAATGTAAAAAATGAAGGTTTGAAGCCCCAATTTGAAACCCCGGGGCTTCAAACCCATTTCCAGTGAATCTGTGAGGTAAGTTAAAGCTGACGTGGCAAAGAGAGAAATTTGAAGCCCCGGTTTGAAGCCCCAGGGCTTCAAACGTATTTCCAGTGCTCTTAGGCATCAATACCCCCCTATTCATCGGAAAAGTAAATGGGAAATAGTCAAAGGTGATTTTCGTGCAACATTTTGTAATTATATACATTTTGTAATTTCGTGCAACATTTTAGAAACAAGTTTTGTAAACAACAAAGGTATTGATACATATTTTCCAACCCATTGGAGGAGTGAAATTATTTGATCTCTTTTCATCTCTACATTTCTTTCACTCCATTTCTATCTAGATCAGGACACGATTCCGGAATCTTCCTAGACGAGTACTAGTGGTGCTTCCGAGATTGGGGGTACCGAAATTAGCTTATTTTTTTCCAACTTTGCTAAACATTTACCACATTTAGATTAACTACTTTATAAATACTAACTAAATTTACAAAAAAATATTTATCATTATTTGATAATTCAATTTAACAAAAAAGTTCTAAAATAAGAACCATCAGAGGTTTCGGAATTGGCAATTCCAGAACCAGAATCGGCCCGTGTCTATCCGAACTTCTATTTAATACTCCCTCCGTCCTAAAACATTCTTCCCACTTCCCCTTTTTCCCGTCCTAAAACTATCTTCTCATTAGAAAAAAAGATGACAAATGACTTTAATACCTTCATGTATTTACACCAATTATGTTCTAACTCTATATTTTGAATGATTGCAAAAAAATTTTCAAAAAATCTTTTTTAAAGAGGATAAAGTTTGAAGTCAAAGCCAAAAATTAAAAATGGGGAAAAGTCAAACTGGAAAGAAAGAATTAGGACGGAGGGAGTATCTATGAATAAATCTAAGGTACACAAACATGGGGTATCCTATTTATACACCACACAAACACATACACTAAGTGTTTGTATTTGCCTGATGTACAAATGAGATACCCGTTGTAGTGTACTAATGGCATGACTCAATCCTTATCATCCAAACCCACCCTTCAAAAAATTGAGAAGACACCAGCTGAATTGACCCGTACAAGTTACTCATGTTCTAGAGCAGCTGGATTGGTAAGAAGAACCAAAGCTGAGAGAGAGAGAGAGAGGCATTTTTGATGGTCGGGTACGCGGGGCGGCGGGGCGCTCATACTTTCCTCACTTTTCAAAAAAGCAGCGGAGAATCCGAGTCTCTGTCGCTCCCCCACATATTCTGGCAACCTTCCGCCATCTCTCTCTCTTTGACAGATACCATTCAAACAAACACAGAAGCAAAAGAAAGGGGTTTCGCTAGAACCGCAGCTCTTCTTCAATCTGTATCTCTTTTCTTCAGTGTGAGTACCCTCATTTTTATCTCCGTTGTCATTCTTTTGCATCCTTCTTCAGTGCAGTAGCTAGGGTTCCAAGTTTATCTTTTGATCTTGAGTTTGTCTGATGTCTGTACATTTCCTCTCTATTTTTCTTGTTGGGAATAGTTGAATCTTTATCTTCCAGCGGTGATCACTAAGTTAAGTGCGCGGAGGGTGAAAGCTAGTGTCTTTAGGGGTTTATGTTATAGAAATTCACTATGGTGTTTTCATTTTAATTGCGAAATGGTGTTAAAATTGGGGCGGCTATTAATCTGCCATACCATTGGCATTGAAGTTGAGACTCTTTTTTGGAATGATTGTAGAGGTTGTGACCATGACGAGGGTAATCCGTGATTTTGGCAATACCATGCAACAAGATGCGGCTTGGCCTGTTTCAGCTGATGTAGTTTTCCATTCGAGCCGTTTTCCAAATTACAAAATTGGGGTTAATAATCAGACATCCGAGTTGACAGAGGACCCTAAAGTAGTCTCAATGAAGGAGATGGTTGCTCGAGAGACCACTCAGTTGCTTGATCATGAAAAACGACTCTCAGTTCGCGATCTAGCCAGCAAGTTTGAGAAGGGTCTGGCTGCTGCTGCGAAATTGTCTGACGAGGTTTTTACTATTTTATTTTCCTCATATATGATATGGAGTACATGCATTTTGAGGTTTTATCGACCATGTTCCCCACTAGCATAGCTGGACACAATCTATTTCCAATGCCTAAAAGGCTAAAACCTGGAGCTTCGTCAAAATCTCTTTAGTGCATTAAAGAATTGAATGAAGGAGTCACATATTTGGTCAAACGATAACGTACCATAAACTCCATACAAAATTGCTCGATCTGCTTCTGTTAGAAAATAGAAAATTTTTAAGGAGGTTGATTCTAGACGAATTAGGAACTTTTTAAAAACTTATTATGCCCTTCGTCCCATAAAAAGTTTCTAGCTTCTTGACATGCTCTTGTCCCAAAAAGAGTCCTATTTATTGAAAATAAACTAGTTTTCATATTTTATAATGGCTGTACCTTACTAGATATTTAAAAGTTCCCTCAAAAATAGATAATTAAAAGTTGTACCTTGATGAAATCAGACTCTTTTTATTGGATAGAGTGAGTATTGTTTTGTTTTCTTCTCCCACACTTCTAGTAACAAGTTATATAAAAATTATTTATCTTCAACTACATAATTCAATGATACTAGTATACTACTTCGTAACAGTCGTTCTTTTGGCTTCTAGGCCAGACTTAAAGGAGCAGCTTCACTTGAGAAACATGTGCTTTTAAAGAAGCTCAGAGATGCACTTGAAGCTTTGGGAGGGCGTGTGGCTGGTAGAAACAAGGATGATGTTGAGGAAGCTATTTCAATGGTTTGTTCCAAGTCTCTCAATTTGTAATTTTGACTTTCTTTAGTTAACAAGGGGCATACACTTCCTTCTTCGTGTATAAATTTTTATTTGGAACTGGAGTATAGAATGAAGGATATACTGCTCATGTTTCACTTCTTTCTAGTGAGCACTAATGTTTTTTTTTTTTTTGGATTTGGGGGGGGGGGACTTCAAGTTTCACCTAATAGCTATGATGAAGAGTCAGATAATTCACTTTAAGGTCATAGAAGGGTGCAGGTACATAGGCTGTCCAATCTCTGTTCTAGATAAAATCATATCATTATATCACTCTGTTTAGTATCTATGCAATTAACCAAAATGAAAGGATGATAAATTAGACTTTATGTGTTTTGTTCCAATTTCCAAGCTTTGAATTGTATCCATCATCATGGTTCTTAGTTCTTAAACCTGATTGTATTTTTTCGAGGTCAATTGTTTATTGAAGTATTTGACTGATAAACTCAATTTCCCCCATGATGTTTACTTCTACTCCCTATGTAGTTATGAACTCTAAGACCCTATCTCTAACTTTTTTGGTCAACACCACATAACTCTTAGCACAGGGGCTTCGATAATGGGTTTTTATGTTTTTTTGTCACTATTCTAAATATATGATCATTGAATCACAGGGAAGGATACATCTAACCTTAAATCAAGCATATCAATCAATGCTTCAAAATTTTCAGGTTGAAGCTTTGGCGGTCCAATTAACTGAGAGAGAAGGAGAATTGATCCAAGAAAAGGCTGAAGTTAAAAAGCTTACAAGTTTTCTTAAGCAGGTAGAGTATAATATACTACTCGTATTTCATACATATAAAAAAGAATTTGTAGACAAGACTTCTTTTATCTGTGTTAAAAAAATTCTAGTAGGCCAAGAACACGTAGAGTGTGGTAAAATTAACCACTTGCATATAAAGTCGGGATTCACTTTCTAACTCAAAAGCTTAAGCTGATAGGAGTATTAACATTGAAATTGAGGGTGAAATGGACAACTGATACACATACACTCAACTCATACTAAAAAAAGAAAGTGGACAAAAACATTGGGACAACCCAATAAGGAATAGTGGACAAAAACAGCGGGATGGAGGGAGTATTAGATAAGATAAAAAAGTACAAGATAAACAATATGATACACTTAGCTAAACCAACAAATATATGTAAGAATTACACCTGAAAGGCTGAAAATAAGTCTAACAATATTTTTTACCTTACTAAAATTTAAAAGTTGGATCTTAGTGACAAATTACTTTTTTTGGGGGGAATATGTACCTGCAGAAAATCACGATACACAGTGTAATTTTCTTTTGGAGTTTGAATTCTACAACAACATACCCAAGAAATTTCCACAAGTGGGGTCTTGATGGGTTGATGTACGGAGATATTACCCTTACATAGAAAAAGTAGATTGTTTCTAATCAAGCCAATTGCCTGATCATCTGATTCATAGCCACTTCTTAAATGATTTGTTACTCTGATACTGTAATACAAACTACTTCGACACTGGGACATAATTTGACTCAATGTACTTCGTAGAGTATGCTGCTTCTATTTCTGTCAGAGTCCCTTTTCTGATAAGACCCTTAATAAACTCGGCCTTGAAGCTTAATGCTTAAAGATTTCCTCTGCTGAAAATTGCATTGCTCGACTCAAGAAGCACTACATCCTAGCACTTCATTCTCAACAGAAAGTCAGAAGTGCATAAGTAAACTAGTTGGCTTATTCTTGTGCTTCGAATCCAATGACAGCAAAGGCAAATATTAGAGATTGAAATTCATTTCCCCCCTTCAAGTCATCTCTAGTGTGACTTTGATAGGATTTCAATCATCAAAGTACTTCACATATCAGATAATTTATTTAGTCAACAGCCTAGTGCCTATGCTTAGATGCATATTAGGTTCGTGCAACACTGGTAGGAAAAAACTGTTGCAAATTTCTGTTCAATGATTGCTATCCAACGGCCTTTTCCTACTCTAGTCTTTAATGAATCAACAACAAGAAACACTATATATAATGCATTTTCATTGCCTCTTCCCACTCAACATCTCTTAAGTAATCCATATGATAGATTGGATTGTTGAAATGCATTTTCGATGTCTAAACAGAATTTTTATTTTTATGTTGAATTAAGCACTAATTCCTAGACTGTAGAAGGTGGAAGTTGTGGAGCACTTGATATCATGAATAGTCACCAAATTGGTATTTTTATTTAAAAATAACAATACATTCTCAGGCTTCAGAAGATGCAAAGAAACTTTTAGATGAAGAAAGAGCTTTTGCTAGGGCTGAAATTGAAAACGCAAGAGCTGCTGTTCAGAGGGTTGAAGAAGCTCTTCAAGAGTTCGAAGAAATGGCTCGAGCATCGGGAAAGCAGGTAATTAAAAATTTCATACTCGGCCCTAACAACCTGAAATCAATTCACATTTTACCGAGAAATGGCCCTAAAAACCTGAAATCAATTCACAGGAGTTCAAAGAAATGGCCCTAACAACCTGAAATCAATTCACAATTTACCTCAGATAGTACTACAAGAACAGTGATGCTTATTCTAAAAGGCTAAAACAATGTATTATTCCTTTTGTTGTTTAATAGTGTTATGACATTGACATTTATGTACACTCTTGAATGCAAAGGATTTGGATGAATTGATGAAGGAAGTTCAAGAAGCTAGGCGTATCAAAATGCTGCATCAGCCAAGCAAGGTATCATTGCCATTGTCTTTCTAGAGGTTTTACTTAGTGATTCTAATATGCGTTGTGTGGCTCATGGTTACCCTAAAAGAAGGGCAGCAAAAAAAGATGAAGTTTATGTAAACTCTAGAATTGAAATGATTATTCACCTGATAAAGTGAAAATGATGTAAACATGAAGAAAATATATTGGGGAAAAATTATAATTCTGAAAGGTACATTAAATCTGCATATGGGTAAAAACACCATACACCTTCTAGCATGAAATTGAAACTAAACAATTGTCAATTTGATTTTTAGGCATTTTTCACTTGTCCGTGATTTTTTTTCTTTTTTTCCTTTGGAACAGGTGATGGATATGGAGCACGAGCTTCGAGCATTGAGAGCTCAGTTCGAAGAGAAGTCGAAGTACTCAATAAAGCTTCAGAAGGAGGTTTTGGATTCTCTCTTGAAAGTTGAAACCTCTAATAACAAACTTTATGCTGAAACAATTGAAGGATACCTTCTATAAGCATTTTTCTATGCTAAGTAGGCCCTTGCTTTAGGAAATAAATGATACTGCTCTCTGACAAATACTCCGTACTTCTTAAAAAATACAGTTGGCACTGAGAAAGAGTGGTGATGGCACCACACAAAATTCGTATGAAATAGATGGCACTGAAGCATTGGGTTCTTTTTTAAAAATTCTGCCATGTTCAAGTGATGCCCTAGATATTTCAAAATTTTCAATTCAGTGGCATCGTTTAGCATGCGAAGGTGGAAAAAAAGAACCCATTTCAGGTATCTGAGCTTAAGTATTCTCATCCACTTGAAAAAATCATGTCCTGCTTAAGTGCTTATGTATCTTCTTGCGGATCTAGGTTCACCAGTTGCCTTTCTCATTTATTCTCGTGTATTTTCTTTATTAAACATGAAAATGGCCTGAGTTGATCTACCTGATATTTTTTTTATAGACATATGAAATATGACCATAAATCAAAATTTCACCATTTTTGGCTTTGGGGTGTGATGGAATAAATCAAAATGGATCTCTAAACTATCTGCGCTTCTTTAATTAATGAAGTAGCAGTTAGTCAAACACTGCAACTTTCGATGTTGAGCCGGGGGTCTCTTTGGAAACAGCCTCTCTACTTTCGAGTAGGGGCAAGGTCTGCGTACACACACCCTCCCCAGACCCTACTCTTGTGGGATTTAACTGGGTTGTTGTTGTTGTTGTATGAAATATGACCATATAGGAAATATTACAAAAAAAGATTGTACTATTCATGTTTTCTAGCATTAGTATTGATATATATTTCACCGTCAAGGGGCTACCAAACCTTATTATGCACCCGAGCCATTTGATGTTGGACGGGNTGTATCTTCTTGGGAATCTAGGTTCACCAGTTGCCTTTCTCATTTATCCTCATGTATTTTCTTTATTAAACATGAAAATGGCCTGAGTTGATCTACCTGATATTTTTTTTATAGACATATGAAATATGACCATAAATCAAAATTTCACCATTTTTGGCTTTGGGGTGTGATGGAATAAATCAAAATGGATCTCTAAACTATCTGCGCTTCTTTAATTAATGAAGTAGCAGTTAGTCAAACACTGCAACTTTCGATGTTGAGCCGGGGGTCTCTTTGGAAACAGCCTCTCTACTTTCGAGTAGGGGCAAGGTCTGCGTACACACACCCTCCCCAGACCCTACTCTTGTGGGATTTAACTGGGTTGTTGTTGTTGTTGTATGAAATATGACCATATAGGAAATATTACAAAAAAAGATTGTACTATTCATGTTTTCTAGCATTAGTATTGATCTATATTTCACCGTCAAGGGGCTACCAAACCTTATTATGCACCCGAGCCATTTGATGTTGGACGGGTCTTGCAAGCTGATATGATGGTAGAAGACCGAATAGTAACTTTGACCACAACTGGTCCTATTGATCCAGGTTAATTTCAATTCATTTTCACTTATTTCTTGAAAGAAGACATTTTACTTCATAAGTTTCTTTTGTCTTGCTTCTTCTTTTCCTCCTCCTCCTTGTTTCTTTTATATTTGGTTAATGCAAATCCATTCTGTATTTCATGGAGTTGATGTAATTATCTCAAATTTGTAGCTTACATTGCTCTCATGTAACAGCTGCTGGACTGGGGAACTATGTTGAAGCATTGGTTCGAAGGCATGAAACTGAATTCAATGTATGTTATCTTCTATTGAAAAGAATTCTCACCTGAAAGAAATGTTGTGTTATCTGAATTTTTTAATTTAAAAATATATTCATGTGAAGGCTGCACCAATCTGAAATTAAAGATTGGGATGTGAGAATAATTGTGGAAAACACCATGGATTATCCCTTGTTCTCCTAGAAAACTTGATTTATCTAAACTTTGATATAATTTGCACATTAGTTGGGCTACTCTATTTCTCCACAGTTGCTATATATCTGAACATTCACTTGAGTTGCTTCAATAAAATATCCCTTGGGAGGCTTGCAGCATTTTTTCATCAAGATTTCAACTATATCTTGTGATCTGGAGAGCAATTGCATGGGACCGAAAATCTTAGCTGATGAATTTTTATTATTAATCTATTCTCACATATGTTTGTGTTTGTTACCCCCTCCCCTTTTGCAGGTAGTTATTGTTCAGATGAACGGGGTGGATCAACCTTCACAATCTATCTATGTACTGCACATCGGAAAGATGAGGATAAAACTTTGTAAAGGGAAGACAAATGTAGCTAAAGAATACTATTCTACTTCAATGCAGGTATTCACCATACTTCCATTTTCTCAAAATTTAACTATGGTGGATCTTTTAGGGGCACCTTCTCTGAGGTTTATAATAACTATATAGGCATTTAGCTTTACACAGGAAACTAATGCCATTTGGCCCAAATAGCTTAAAGGAATTGAATGGGTATTTCGGGACTGATGAAAAAAAGAAAGTGGTTTATTTTGGGACCAAACAGGTATATGTTAGGCAAAATCATGCACTTATATATAAAATTTCTCCTTTTTTCTAATGAGTTAAAAAATATAAATTACTCCTCCCCCTTAGAAATCCCCCCAATCAAACAAGGGTGAGTTTGAAAAGTCTGCCACCAGAAATTAAACAGGAAGGGAACAATACACCAGTATGCTTAGAAATATGTTGCCATAGTGTTGAACTGAATTATACCAGCTGTAAATGATGAAATTTATTGGTTAAAATTTGCCCTTATTTAGTTGGAGAGTTTTTTTTGTTTTGTTTTTGTTTGTGTGTGTGTGTGTGGGGGGGGGGGGGGGG